CCATAAAATTCAATGGAATAATTCCACAATTTTAACAAAAGAACAATCCACAAAAAAACGTAAAATTAAAGAAAGCGCACTAATTTTACTAAATCCAAATAATTGTGTTGCTTCATGTTTATGTTCATTACACTCCTGTAATGAAGCTTGTGTAAATATTGGGAAAATCCCCACTCGCTTATAGCCAACAAATAGGCTTGATTAATTTCACATTTAAAGTCACTAAACGAAGTAATTTACATATGTTTGACTGAATTTGATGAGCGGCTGTTTGATTTACTCATACGCTTCCAATATGGAACTAATTACTTAATTAACTGCTTTATGCCTGTGTGACTATGTAAATACATTTTTAGTCATTTGTTGTTCTTATTTGTATGGCGGCCCATATTTTCCAGCTTGAGTGACTGTCTTGGCACTATCAAAGCCCAGCCCGTCAAAGGGTTTATTTGATCAAAAATGAGTCAAATTTTCCAAAAATCTGGGACAAAAGGAAAAAATCTCTAGGGGCTTGATTACTAGGAACCTTAGAGAAAATGTCAATTCCACTGGTTTTATGGAGTTTGAGCGTCTCTTTGCCGTGGCGTATTCAGAATTATGCCATCATTTCAATTTTGGAACATTTTCTCTATTTATTCAAAAACCAAAAACACACAGAACAGGAAACCCATGCAATTCCAGTTAGATTCACTTTGATTTGGCGGATGTTTTATCAAGAATAAATTTTTTGGATAAACGCGAAAATCCTCAAAAATCTGTCTCAAAAACCAGAAACATCGCTTGTAGCTCCCTTTGTCTATTCAGTGGCTTACTCAAACTTCCACCATCACTTTTTGGAGCCTAATTTTTGTCTTTAGCTCCAAAACGCAAAAAGTGAGCAACAGTGAAACGATTGCCGTTAGACTCACTTGGCTAATCCGGACATTTTATGGAAAATACATTTTATGATTGGCAGCACCGTCTTTTTCAAAACGAAACTTCTTTTTTACAAATTTTCCAGAAATTCGGCTCAAAACCAAAAAATCCTCCGTAGGACGCCTAATAATTATTTTAGAAAAATCCCGACTACAGCATTTCTTTTAGAGAATGACCCCCTCTAATCAGTGGCGTACAGAACACTTCAATAGCGATTATTTTTGGAAATATTGCTGGATTTTTGACGCAACATTTTCGCCATTTACTCGAAATCTAAAAGTTGAAAAAATTGAAACCAATGCTGTCAAATACAATTTGGCAAGAAGAATATTTTTTAAAGAACATTTTTTTCATGTGGAGCACTTTTTTGGAGCAAATTAGGAAAAAACGCCAAAAATCTTTGGCAGCTTGCTTAATAGTCGTTTTAAGAAAAAACCTGATACAACAATTCTAATAGATAATGATCGCCTCTCGTCAGGCACGTACTCAAGATTTCAACAGTGTTCACTTTAGGAAATAATACACATTTTTTAAGATAAATTTTTGCCGTTTATTCGGTAATTCAAACTGAAAAGTCATTTAAACTTTCTTCATTTTAGCTTTTAACTACACTCACTTACATATTTTGGACATTTTATTGAGAACACGTTTTTTTGATTGAAGGCACCGTTCTCGAGAAAAAAAACACAAAAATGCTGCTCTAAATCCATTAGCGTCAACTTGAAGATGGCACAGTTTCGAAACCTGTCCATATTTTCCCCTTTCATTCACTGTTTTAAACGTTTCGCGGCCTGATCTTTCAAAATGTGATATCAAAAGTAAGAAAGCCAATTTTCCAAAAATTTCTCGTTCCAGGGGAAAATATTAAATTGAAAATTATGCGGGTCAATTAAAAGAGGTTCCAGAAAAGATTAATCAGTGCGAAAAGTAATTAAAAGTGTCTTTCTATGTTGTTATTCTCTATTGTTGTTCATTTCTATTGAGTAAATGATTGTCGTATACAGACTGATTTTTACGTTAACACTTTTATTAAGTTGTTTATATTACAACATTATCGAACAACTTAAAAATTAGAGATTTAATTTTTGCAAATTATTTTGCAGATCGCAAATTTTTCCAGGGGACAAATGGATGAAAATTTTAAATCACTAGGTGACAGGTCTGAACTGTAGAAAGGATGCTTGAATATTTCCCAGACAAACTTTTCTAATTTCTTCCTTGCAGTGTAACTTATGTGTAACGTTTAATAACGTTTACTTGTTGAGCAGTTTATCTTTAGATTTTTTCAAAATACCAACTGCATTCCTAGAACTTAAGGTGATGTTGTGCATCGATTTGAATACCAAATTTTCTCTAAAACGGCTTTTTTAACTACGCGCTTGGAACTACTCCAAACTTTACCTAATAAAAACATCCCTTTATCAGCTTGCACCTACCTAAAGCACCTCTATGCAAACGATGTAATAACTTTTCCAGTTTAACGGGTTTAACTTCAAAGTGGGATTTAAGCCGTGRCGGAACTTTTTAATCAACTTCATACCCTCTTGGACTGTTGATGTTAATGCTAACGCTCRAACTATCATCGGWAATTACTGGGTTAGATGATTGAGAAAAAGCGATTTTTTGTTCAAATTTCTCATCTTTTGTGGCAATTTTTGCTTATGAACAATGATGTTTCTGGGGATTATCGAATGGAATGAGCAGAAGATTTTTTTGAGTCATCGCGCGTTATGTTATGAGCTAAATAGATATTTAWACCAATTTCAGTGAGTTTTTAGACGGGATTTAAATTTTCTCTGCTGCTCTGGACAATCAAATTTTCCGAAGTGCATAAATGAAACAACCACTTAGCATTTTGGAGGTTTTTTTATTTACTTGACTGTATAAGAAAGCTATGTACAAACGTGTTGGATAAACGAATATCCACATGGACCTGAAAACTAGAAATCAGCAATTATTGGAAATCGCGTGTCTGAGCATCAAACAACAAGTCGTGAAAATCCACATTCTAAATTCGGAAGTTTCTATGAGACATGCTAATATGGCTGACTTCAATGTTCACTGAGTACAGCAAATCGTTATTGTCGCAAAAGGGCACTAGACGGCCAAAAAACTCGTCGAAATTGTACTGAACTTGCTCATCCTCACGCCGATTCATAACCGAGTAATTGTTGCTCGATTGCTTCACATGCGAAGTGTACAATTTGAACGATTTGCTCCAAACATCAATGGGAAAACTGTGAGCAACAACCAACGTGAAATTGTACATTACGATTGGGTTTCCATTGCCAATTGCCACCATGCGAAATCTTACTTTAGGCGATTTGAGTAGATCGTAGCCCCAATCCAGTTTAAATATCCGACCTGGAAATAGGTCAAGATGAGTGGATTGACTCAGAAAGAAGATACAAAAACGCAAACTTSAAGCTAATGTTCTTTATAGCACAAAAGWGCAATTTCAGGCATCTCTAGATGCGGTTCTGCATCCTCTAAATTTCTACCTATTTATAAGATCTTTTTATCTTTCCTTATCAAMGAATTTTGAAGCTTCGTTCCCAACAAGTCTYTAACGGTTTCTTTCTCGCAATTTAAATTTGTCTGCTGTTTGGATTCCCTTTAGTCTCTTTTTTTGGCTCTTCGACCGGCTTTGGAGTAAAAAGTTCGAATAGCGGTGGAAAATACACAAAAATAATGAACGCTTGAAGAAGCAGCATAAAGCCAGAATGTCAAAATTGTGAAGATGTATTTAAGGCATTTAGTAGCAACTTACCGGCAAAAGGAGATGTTTAATTTTGCATTTTGGGTGAGCGAAGTAAACTTGTAAACTCAAAAACGGTTGAAGGAGCGAAAAACACAAGAGGCCAAAAATGTTCAAAATCTCTTAAGACAATTAAGTCTAGCGGCGTTTTCACAACATTTTCTAAGCAAAAAACCTTCTAAACAATAAATGAATTAAGTCTGAACGAGCAGGAAAACTTAAAACGTAAAAGACTGTTAAAATTGGTTTTAAAAAGTTGTTAACTTATTTTATCGAAAACCTACTAGATTATTAAATTTGCAGTTGAGTCTATGGGAAATTCAGGCATTTTTTTGACAATTGTTCTGGTGAAAACAGCAACAGAAGCACAAAAATTGCTTAATCTGAAAAACGGTCTAAAATGTACAGGAAATTACCCGCTTTTATTAGGTTTAATTTCATTTTTACCGGCAGACAGTCCGCTGGTAACAAAAAAGTAGATTGTATATTTTAAGCCGTAACTTTAGAAAAAAACTGGTGGAAAGTGGTTGTGAATAATTCAGCTAGTTAAGAAAATTCTACATAAATTACGGCTATAGAAAATTAATTTTCACATTTAAAACAATGCGTTGATGATAGATAAATTCCTGTCCCAACATTCACAATATCTTCACCGACATTCAAACACGCCATATAATTCCAGCCCTAAATCTCATACTTACCATTTACCACAAAAATGATATTGTACGATTTAATGTGAGAGCGTTTAAACAGTCGTGATCGGAAAACCACATGTGATGTGAAGAAAACGTTGTCTGGATGACACTCCTTTAGATGATTCTGCAAGGTCTTCATGTTACCTTCCCATTGGCATTCATATGCATCCCCCAGCGGACACCTTACAGGAAAATAGGGGCAAAAATGCTCATGAATCCCCGTATGGGAGGCAGTCGCTGTATAGGAGCAACCCTCGAAGCTGCAGGGAAAACTGATCAGCGGATGCAGCCGCTCAAGAGCGAACGCTCTAGTGAAAGTCTTCGGTGTCCTGGAAACAGTCCAGTTTTTGCCCTCATACCGTCCAAACGGTTGGACATTTGATTACAATTGATTTACCTGCAAGTGGGACATTTGATGCACTGTTTCCAGCAATTCAGGCAGATAATGTGGCTGTTGGAGCACATCATTATGGGCGGTTGAGTCGGCTGGAAACAGACTGGACAGTCGTATTCTTTTGCAATTTGTTGTTCTAGTTCGTATTCTTTTTTCGTTATTGGAGTTATCATCTGGAAGGAATCAACTGGTAAATAAGCTCAGTTTTTGTAGTTTTCGAAGAAAAATATGCAAAGAAAAACCGGTTGGGAGTAAGGGGCCATTGATTGTCTTTTCAGCAATTGATTTACGGTTTGGTCTTTGTTGCTCTCTCAGATCCTTCTGTGCATGCCTTTGTTCCTCGTTATTTTCTTCAATATTTCACGCTTTTATTTCCTCCCCGCGGAAATGTTTTCTGAACCACTTTTGCTTGTTGTGAATTTATTCATGATTTATTTATCTGTTTTGCCAAATTCTTTATAATTTCCGATCGATTGTCGAGAGTGAAAAGCTTGAAAACTTGCTTTAAATTGCAGAAATCAAAATCAGTTAAGACGAAACAAAATTATAATGTAAATACAATCTGTTGAAAAGTTATATAATATTTTYAWTGTAAAAATTGGCTATKATTATTGGKTATGTTTYTGGGAGAAACTCGTTTTTTCCAGTAAACCTTCCTGGGTGGACAGGTGAAATTTCCAGCGGRGAAACTCGTTTGCTGGCTTCTTTCCCGACTCATAAAAGTAGAACTTTCGCTTGCAAAAGCCTTTAGAACGTCGCATTTGTAGATTTTAACACAGTAGATTTTAACACAGTTTAAAAATGCGGAAAGCTTATGAGTTTCCAAAAATGGCGCTCAACCGGCCAAAGTCTTACCTTTTGTACAATATCCAAATTCCGATTAACGTATATTTCGTACGTTCTTCTATCCAGATTCATGATTGGTTTGGGGGCCGAAAAATGTTCGTCTTTCACGTTGGTCGCAACACGTCCTGAAACCGAAACCCAGTGAAACTGAATAATTTCGACCAGTAAAAGGGAATAAATTGCGGCAATAAAGAGGGTAAGCGGCAATTAAATCGCCTATAAACCTGCCATCAATTTGCGGCAGAATTAGTATGCCGCCTGGTCGCATATTTCCCACATTTCCAATGATATTGTCACCGATGTTAAACGGCCGAAGACCAATTTCCGAGCCGACCAAACCTCAAATTATTGTCGAACTGTTTAAGATCGGGTTCGGTCGAATGCCCCAAGTTCTCAGCTACGTTTGAATATTCAAAATTGGTCATATTTTGGCCCGGTATGTCACGATATGTCGGCGCCAGTCAAGGAATTTAGCTAAATATGCGCCATGGGCTGAAGAAGCCATTGGGAAGGGCGGTTTCACCCATAGCTTCAGCTCGGCTGATCGGAGTTTTCCAGCCCACCCTCCAGAAGGTTTTTGCTTGACAAACTTTGCATTGCACGCAAATTTCTCCAAGCGGTTCCTCAAATTCCCAACTCAGCCTGCCTAAGGAGCTTTGCATGGGCTAATGAAATTTAAAATCTTAAACATTAGCCTTTATGTTAATAGAAGTCGCTAAAATAATACGAATCTCTTGGGCCCAGATGGGGAACCTAATTACTAAAAAACAGAGCTGAAGCGTTAATAAAACCCAACGTAGCGTCATCGAGCATTGTTTGAGCCGATTCATATTGTATTTTCCGGAATTAATTCTGTTAAAACAATAAAGTAGAATTAATCCTGCGGGGATGATTCGTCGGCCCGATACGCGACAAGTACAAAGCGCACCGAAGGAAAATCCGATGAATTTTTTCGGTAAAATTAAATGATAAAAACTGTGTTGTCGGGGATAAGCGGCTTTAAGTGATATTTTTTTCATCAAAACCGGCACAGGACTTTGTTTTGTGTTGTTGAAATGCGTTTTTAATTCAAATTTACCCAATCGGGTTGGAAATAGTGCAGTATGGCGAAAACATGCCCAATTGAAGCTGAATTATTGACAAATTGATAATTGCACATGAAAATTGAACCGCATAATGAAATTGATTTCAAGCAACAATAAAACTTGTGCTCGAAACCCTCATTTTATATTGATGTTGTTCATTCATCCACCACAAACACATCTGTGATGTCTAAGCATTTATTGCAATCGGTTTTTGGTGATTGAGTTTTTGCTAAATAATTGAAAATTGTTCTTGATCAAACTTACTAATATTAGCGTCCCAATCGGTGACTTGTCACTACAAATAGTAAATAAAATCACACACGAAGAACTGTAGACACTAAACACTGAAATACATTGCAAAGTTCCGGTCAAGGATTAATATCAACATCGTTTTTCTTGGTGGAGTGAAAGAATCTCGGTTTTTGCCAGGTAGCAGACCTCCTGAAGGTTTGAATAGCATTTAGTTGGTATTTGTAGCTGTATGCGACTAGTTAATTGCAATAAAACCACGCAACTGAGTCTGAAAAATTAATCATTTGCTGATTTTTTCCATTTGTTTTTCTGGATGTCTGCCTAATTGCTTGAGTTTTCAACAGAACTGTTCGAAAACTTATAAGATATTAACTGAACCCTGGAATCAGTAGAATTTTTGTAAACCATCCAACCAACGCTTCTCTAAAAGTAGTAAAAGTTGTGCATTTTTTTCAGGACTCCTGTCCAATTGAGTCCATTTCACAACAATTACATTGTTTTTAGGAAATCTCAAAAAATCACCAGAAGGTTTAATCTATTTCAATCTTTATCCACAATCCCACTAAAGCTTTTTCTAATTTCCATCAATCGCTCAACTTTAGATCTGCTTCAGTTCGGAGGTTATCAATTTTTGTATGGCTCAAACCGGTAGAAAATCAACAGGAGTTTTAAATCTTCTCACTTTTGGTGTGCAAGACTTCTAGAAAACCCGGCAAAATTTGTTGGAGTTTGAAAGTGGTTCATTTTTCTATAGAGTTCTACGAAATTGAAACATTTTTGTGAGCCTAATCGACAATATGAAAAACTGTAGAGAATTTATGTACTTACAAAGAACTTGTTCAAAAGCGTTCAAAATTTATAGTGTGTATTTTTATGATTTTAGAAGTAATACGTTTTTATTGTGAACCTTGCCCAAGTGAGACACGTTTATAAGCTTATCACAGAATTTGGAAAATCGTAGAAAATTCATGAACTCTTTCAATTTTCCAACTGTTTGCACACAAATAAGAAAACGATTTTTTCTGAAATAATGCAAACTTTGAGCTCTATTGAGCAGGAGGTTGAAAGTGATGGTTTTTTTAAAGGCCCGTCCGGTTTAGTCACTGATAAGCAAAACCGAGGGTTTAGAATAAGGTAGAAAATCATTGTGCCTTTTTATCCTGTTGACTTTTTCTATATACATTTACAAGACGTTGCGGTAAAAGTGCCTAAAATTTCAACTTTAAATTTCCAAGAATTTGGAAGATATGGATTTCTCTCGGAAAGCTTGCCCTGGTGAGATACTTGTATAACCGCAGCAGGGACTTTGGCAAAATATAAAATTAGTCAGTGCTCTGAATTCTTTAATATTTTGCAAGCAAACCACGGAAGGGTTTTGATAATATCACTGAAAATTTGAGCTTCATATCGGTGAGTGTTCGAAAGATATGATTTTTTTGGAACGCCGTTTTCCCAATTGAGGCACTTTTATTAGGGTAATAGAAAGTTCAAAAACAGTAGAAACTCCATAATGTTTTTCACTTTCTTTAAATGCACTAAACAACGTATTTTTTGGTATGTACACAATTTGAGATTTATGAATTTTAATCGGAAAGCCTGCCTCATTGAGGCGCTCCAATAAACGTTCGGAAAAGCAGAGTTTACCAACCCTCTGAATTCTTTGATGTTCCACACACGAGCCAAGCAAGGGCTTCTATAAAACTATCCAAAATTTTATCTTTATATCGCGAACTTTTGGGAAGTTATGAATTTTTTTAGGCACGCCTGACAATAGACGTACTTTACCAGCCAAGACAGAGAGTTTGAAAAATTACATATTTAAAATCAACAAGCTCTCTAATATGGCTCAGTTTTTGTGCACAAACCAACCATTGTGTTGCGTAAAACATCTCAAAGTCGAAACTTCATATCGCAAGGGGCTTGAAAGTTATAAATTTTTGTATGGGCATAAGTGTAACAGAAACTTTCGAAAACGGTTAACAATTTCTGAATTCTATAATTATTTTTATTTTTTTACACGCACTAACTAAGGATTTTCCTAGCAAATTCTAAAAATTCTACCTCATTTCTTATGAGTTTTGGTCGGGAAGGTTTCACAATTGAAACTTTTTTTAAATGGAGCAGGGAGTTAGAAAAACTCTTGAATATCGAGCTGCCGACGAGCTGTTTTACACTTGGACTGGGTTCAAACGAACGAAAATGCCCATTTAAAATTAAACTACCTTCTACCTTCAACCCCAGAGCTTTTCGCATGTTACTATGGGTAAAACTATGGGTAAAAAGCTTTTCCAGTAGAAGGGACGCAATCTAAAAATTACTGGGATTTATGTCGCGTTCTTTCTAAACCGGCTAAATTACGACGCTCCTGTTTGACTAAAACTACTTTGCCTTAGATATATTTCCCTGCTGGAATACATTCCGGATTTCCTGCTCTGCATAAGTATTTATTATTCAACCACTATTAGGTCGAAGAGATTCAGTTGAGGCGTAAAAAATTGCGATCGTTTATTACGATTTTTTGTAAAAGTTGGAGAAAATGAGAACGGTTATTTATGCCCGTTGCCTGCTCAATTTTTATTCGCGCCTTTATCAACTACATGGAGCTCTGATGTGCTAAATTTAAGAAACACTTACGCTAAAATGATATGTTGCTTGTTGCCGAGACATTTAGATGCACCTGATCCTTGTCGAGAAGGTTTTTCATTTTTCTCCCGCTAATGGCACTGTTTTTATTCCAATTTCCGACTATATTCGCTTTTTCCAGTTCATCCAGTTTGAGAACATGTAGCTCTTTTAGATGTTTGCAAGTAAATTGAACAGAACATTGAAATTCAAAGGAAAAACAATTTTCATAATTCTCCACGTTTATGGTTCAAGTTCCGGAGCGTGCAGTTTTTCCAGTTCGTTGTACCGGTATGAATTAGAGGAGTAAATGGAACAGGCTGCGACAAAACGATTATGTTTTCATGAGCGAAATCCCGGATGTAAGTTTCACGTGTACCTAAACAAGTTAAAGTTCAATTTTCCGGGACGAATGAGGAAAATAAATCCGAGAATGAGTAGATTAAACGGCGTAAAAATACCTGGGGCGAATTAAATTATTTAGGATTACGGGAAAACGCAAAACAAGAGCTGCTCGAATTGGATCCCAGTCGCACTGGTCTGCATACGATTTAATATTCAGGGGGGTCTCAAGAACGGTTTAGGGTTAGCTGGTTAATTTGCCGCAAAGGCACTCACTTTATGCAGTAGGTTTTCTTTACTGAGTCTAAATCTGATACCTTAAATTGTTGAATTATTTGCTTAGTGCTTTTTGACGTCAAAGTTTAGTTATCGGTGCAAGAGCTGGTCGATATGCGATTATAAAGCGCGTAACTATGAGAAACCCGATATAAGTCGGTTAAAAACAGCCTTCTCTTAACACCCTTAAAACGGTCAAAACATTCACATATTTGGGGGGTTTACAGTGCTTTTAATGCCTTTATTCTTGCAAGGGAAATGGAACGTAGTTTGAACTTCATATCTACGTGAGTTTGAAAGTTTTCAATTTTTTGTATGGAGGCCTGCCTTACTGAGGCATTTTCATAAGCGTTGCAACGGAAAATTGCAAAAATTGCCAAAAATTCCTATGCGCCCTAATTCGTCTGACATTTTCTGCAATCACTAACTGACAATTTTTCTAAAAGGTTCTTAAAATTAAACTTTATACCTAGAAGAACTTGGAACTTATGAATTTTTATCTGCAAACTTTCACAATTGAGGCTTTTGTAAATGCAACAGTAAGTTTGAAAAACGCTAGAATATTAACACACTTTACGAATTCGTTAATTTTGTGCACAATCACCCAGAAAATGTTCCCATTAAGTGGCTGAAAGTTCGAGCTTTGTATCAATAGATAGGGGAAAAGTTGTGTTTTTTTTGTGGACGCATGCCTACTTTTGACCCTTTTATAAGCGGATGAGAGATTTAGAAAATCTGCATTTTTGAACACATTTCAACTGAAGACTGCTCTAAAACTTCCAGAAAGTTGAATTGTATATTTATACAAATTTGGAAGTTTTACATTTTTCGGCCCAACATTTTAATAAGTGTAACAGAAAGGTTTAAAAAACGGTAGTATCTATATGGGCTCACCAAACCCTTTAACGTTTTCTCCCGCATTAACGAAATGCTTCTTTAAACGGTCCTGCAATTTCAAATTTACATCTAAAATACTTGGAAAGCTATAATTTTTTTATTGAAAACATAACTGAGACAGTTTTGTTAACGGGTTAAAAGCTTTGAAAACATTGAAATATAACTGGATTCTCCAAATTCCTTGAACTTTTGCACACAAACCCATCAGCTCTCATAAAATCTTCCATAATTTTGGTCTTAGGTCTACAAAAATGCGGAACTTGTAAGTTTTTTTTGGATGCGTGCCCAGCTGACACTCTTTAATAAGCGCCAGAGAAAGATTAAAAATCAGTCAAAAATCAGTAGGTGCTTCAAATGCTTTGAATTTTTGCCGTGTTCTAAGCAAAGAGGGTCCCAAAACTTCAGGAAAGTTTTACTGAAAATCTATAAGAACTTGGAAGTTATAATTTTTTTTGTTCAGTTGAAACATGTTCATCAATGCAACAGTTGGTTTGAAGTACGCCGGAAATTACATCTTTTCTCCAAACCGTTTCTCTTTCTCCATAAGCACTAACAAAGGTTTCTCCTCAACTGACTTAAAACTTCCACTTGATATCGGAAAAGGTTTAGAAGTTATGAATTTTTTATCGGGAACTTTCACAAGTGAGACACTGGAAAATGGAACAGAGAGTTTCCAAAACGGTGGAATATCAAGAAGTCTTCCAAATTTCTTCGGCTTTTGCACACAAACCCACCACAGGCTTTCATAAAGTGACCTAAAATGTGCCTTTGTAATATCAAAAATGCGGAAGTTATTAGTTTTTTTGGATGCGTGCCCAATCGAAGTACTGTTATAAGCGCGAGCGACAGTTTGAAAATCGGTAAAAAATCCGTATGTACCTTAAAAGCATGGATTTTTTGCACTAAAACTTTTCAAAACTTGAACTGTAAAGCTGCAAGTGTTCAGAAGCTAACAATTTTTTTGGAGCTTACTCATTTGAGGCCTTTTTATAAGGGTGACAGAAAGTTCGGAAAACGGCAGAAAATCGATGGATTCTCTAATATATATCTAACTTATTTATGCACAAAAATGTTCTCTGCCGATTAGCACAAGCTAAATACGAAGTCCGATCCTGTTTTCACATGTTTGCCTATTTTATTTAGACAATCAGGCCTTTTACGCTAAACACGCATCATCTGGACGGTACTTTACAATTTCCAACACGACGCGCTTATTATGAATTTATTGAACTTAGTTGAGGTCAATGCTAATTTAACCTTTTATTTGTTGATGTTTTCTTGATTCAATGAAAATCCTCTTATCATCAAGAAGATTGATCTTATTCGTAATTTTTACGGGAAAAAATTATTTGCGTCAAAAATCGCACTACTGCTCTCGTTTTAAAGGTGTTTAAAAATCGCAATTCCTTCGGCTTGGTCAGCTTCCGTGAGCAGTTAAAGCCCTGACCCGAAGACAAATCCCGCCGCCCTCTGAACATTATGATTCCAGGCAAAACTTCTTGCTAAATCCGTGCAAACTCTAATCTGAAACTGTTTCTTCTTCGTCCTCCTACAGGTCTCATCATTGTTCGATTTGACGAGAGGGCACGTTAACTTACTAGTTTGGCCCACTTGGGCACCTTAAGGATGGCCAAGTTTGGTGCGTGTTCGGAATATGAGCAAAAACTTGCTCGCACAAAAGGCCAAGGGATAAACAAGGGCACGATCGAAAATAAAGCACTAACTTAGCTTTCAAAAGATTTCGATTGTCTTAAGCAAAAATTGAAAGTGGATTTTATAAATCCCAGTGTTTAGAAGGGTTCGGAGGAACAATATGCTTGCGGTTTTTGGGTTAATTTTTGGTTTTTCTTCAGTTGACTCTAAGCGATTGTTTTCCTTGGTAGAGTTCTATTTTAGTCTTCTGCAGAACAACTTGGCAGGAAATTGTCCAAGATGCCCAAAAATTGTAACTTTAAACCTCATCAATTTTGGAAGTTATGAATTTTTATCAGAAAGCTGGGCCAATTGAGGCCTTTGAGAAGCGTAACAGAGAGTTCAGAAAACGGTCAAAAATCGATGGGTTCTCTAAACTTTTTCAGTTTTTCTGTACACACCAAAGATTTTTCTAAACGGGCTGGAAGTTTTAACTTCAGATCTCAAAGGGTGTGGAATTTATTAATTTTTATTATTAATTCATAAGCTTGTTCAAAACACACACTTTTATAAGAGTATCAGCTGGTTTAAAAAACAGTAGAACAAACTCATGGATCGTCCAATTTCTTTGATTTCTTGGAAGCTTGCGCAAAAATGCCTCAAATTTTATCTTTATATCTAGAATAATTTGTAAGTGATAAATCTATATCCGAATGCCTGCCCTGAAAAAGGACTAACTAGTTGATCACCCATAAATGCATTAAACATTCCTCGATATTGAAGCGGGGTGCCTGCAAAAATCTATGAACTGGACCAAAATCACTCAGAACTGACAGATTTTAGATAAATCCCCAAAATCTAACTGGCATGTGTGGAACAATCTGTTCCTGCCTTAAAGGCAGATAATTTAATATTTAAGCTGACAAAATTCAGATCGTTTTTTGAAGAAAACCGGATTTAAGGACTATGAATTTTAAGGACTATGAATTTAAATTAGGTACCTAAGAAATCGCGATTTCAAAAAAAAAGTGACGAGTCGTTTACTGGAAAAGTTTATCGCTTTCACTGAACTTTTTCTGTCTAACCTGTAAACGGAAAATTTCGAGTTTTTTGTTAAAAAATGCATTTCAAATCGATTTACTGTAAGAAAATGTTTCGACCAATTAGTACTGTTAAACAGTGTGCTGTACAGGAAAAGGGATGATTTTGAACGACAAAACCTTCACCTAAAAGTCGGGGCAAATTGTTCTTGAGCTTTATGCCCTGTTTCTAAAACGTTTTTAAAAATAGTTGATTATATTAACTTCCATAATCGTTTAATACGTTCAGAGTGTTTCTCGGTCTGTATCTCAGTTGAAAATTGCCAGAAATCCTAAAAAGGACTGTAAAAAATAAGCAGAAGGCGCATACTAATTGAGTGAAAACCAAGAAAGTATAATTGTTTGTCACAAATACAACCGCACACATTGAAGTATAAGAAATGTCTCAGTTTCTATATAAAACCGTCCAACTTTACGACTGCCGATTCTAAAAACACCAGAAAATTATACAATAAGGAGTAGGATAGAACATATAGAAATGCAAAAAAATAATAGCTATCATTAGTTGGGACTATCCTGAAAACAACACTCCTAACCCGGCACTTGTATTCTCTATGGCTCTGACGATTGCGGAAGTTCTATTTTGTTTTTACAAAAAAATGCATCAGAAAAATCAAACTGCCTAGAAAGAAAACGAGAGATTAGACATAGAGAATCAGCTAAAAAGCAAATATTGTTTACTAAAGTGTCCTCCAAGGATAACTTGAAAATAATGAGGCAATAAGCTACGTTTTCTGCAGCTGTTGTTTGCCTATTTTCTTGAACTTTCCACAAGTTTCCGAAATTGCGTTACTGCCAGTTTAATATTCGATGACACAATAAATTGATAAAACGTAATTTTTCTCAAAACCCTCAACCGGAGGTCCTGAAGTTAAATATTTCATTAGCGTAGTTTTTCCTGCTTTTTCCAGCGCTAGAAAGACAAGCCCTTTATCTCTAACCCCGAAATAAGAAAGCCTGCTGCTTAATTCGCTATCCGCTATATTCCAGGCACGTGGTTAACTCGATGGCGAATATCGGTCGGTTTCGGTCAGTCTTAAGATGACACGTAAAGTTCCCAAATAGCCGAAGTACAGGTGAGTTGAGCCGGAATTTAAAACTCTCTTATGAGCAGACAGAATATAAATAGTGAAATTTCCATTTCCAATCCACAATTTGAGCTGGTCGAAAATGCGACAATAAAAGGTTGATTTTATTCGGGTGCATTTATCGGGGTCACGTTTATTGGACTGAGACTGGACAAATCAAATCGGCCAAGTGCCAGTTTACATCCAATCGGTCAGAATTTCGCTGAGTTTCCAGTATGCAGAACACGTTTCTGAGCAGGAGGAAACTGAAAAACTCTCTGAAATATTTCGTGGTTCTATTTCCAACAACTTCAATGAGAATTACAGGAGGTTTTGCTTAAAATCGATGGTTAAAGTTGACGCCTACTCGCTTGTCCCCGCTCTGACTTCCTCCAGGACCTCCAAATTGATGACTGGCGCCTCCTCCAACATTGAGGGTTGATTCTCCAAAGCGATTTTTATTGGACCAGACCGGCACTCGTCCATCCACACCCACTGAGTGGCCCTGACCGTTTCCATGTCCGTATTGAACTCTGCCTCCTGAGCCTGCAATGCCACTTTGAGTTAGCAGAAGAAAATGAAAAACACTGTAAATTCTACCATTGGGGTTTGAGAATCCTATGGTTCCACCTTGGCCCTTTCCGTTCGCTCCTCCTCCTCCAAATCCTTGAGCGGCTTCCCTAGAGAATTTTCAAAAAATTAGCTTCAAGCTCCAAAGGATTTTTCGCGCACGTTTTTTTATACCTTTTTGGGCGGGGTGCCGATGGCTTTAGAACGTACTGCGGCGCTTCTTCAACTTCTTCTGGGGCGATCGAAGGGTAAGCAATGGCACAAGCCAGTACTGCGCACAGTACAACTATACTGAACAACTGCGACTGCATGGTGGTTCTTCTTAAGGCTCAACTGAATGATACTGATGTTGAACCGTCGACGATGCAGGTCTTTTATATGATAATCCGGGTAAATTACCGTCTGTTCACTTGCGTTTCGGGTTCTAGAATCGAGGTCAAGTGAGAGACATTTTTGATATGAATACTGTGAATCACAGTAAAGAGATTTGTGTGGGGTCATGAATTTTATCTTATTCTCCCTTTTTTGTTTCTAATTCAACACAGTGTAAAATGTTAAAGCTTGCACTATTTGCGCTTAACAGGAACACTAATTTTGGGCTGCTAAAGAGAGGGAAACACAGTTAAAAACGCCGATGGATTGACTATTAGCAAAAGTATACTTTGTCTGATTTGTTTAATACTTCCGCTGACTGATGCACAATAGAAATTAAGTTAAAAATAAATTAAGTTGAAAACAGGGCTTGCAAGGCTTAAACATACATAGAATCTAATCCAACAGGAGTCAGAAAAAACGTGCTTTGAATGAATAAAAACGCTTTTTACAAACACAAATATCTCACAAACGGATTGTCAATTCAACTATTTCCTTTTTATTTACAAACAAAATACAGAGTGGCTCAAGAAAGTTGTAGCGTTTTGAATGTATGCCAAGTATTAAACCCTGTAAAAAATTAATCAAGTATGCATGTATAAGCAAAAATTAAACGTTTGTCCAAGATGCCCAAAAATTGTAACTTCAAATCTCATCAATTTTGAAAGTTATGAATTTTTATCAGAGAGCTGGGCCAATTGAGGCCTTTTGAGAAGCGTCCCAGATAGCACAAAATATTACATACATATTTAGGAAATATTTCAGATCAAAAGCAAGTATTTCTTAAATATTATTTTTAAAATATTTGTTTCTAATATTTAATTAGCATGAAACAAATAAAATAATAATAGTTTTTTTAAGTACGTAATACTTTTCGTACCTATATATAACAACCTTAACACCCAAAAAGTTACTAATATATTATTTTTAATAAATATGAATAAACTTTAGAACTTATGATCTGAGTTTTCATTGATCAGTAAATAGAAAATATTTCAGAGCGAAAAGATATATTTTTCAAATGTGATTTAAACATTCTATAGAAAATATTTGTTTCTAATATTTAATTAGCATGAAATAAATAAAATAATAATAGGTTTTCTTAGTACGTAATACTTTTTGTGTCTATATATAACA